TGACACATTTTGAGTTAATTTTTGTGTATGGTGTGAGGGTAAGTGTCCAACTTTATTATTTTGCATATGATACTCAGTTTTCCCAACACCATTTGTTGGAAAGACTGTTCTTTCTCCCTTTGAATGGCCTTGCCTGTCTTGTCAGAAATCATTTGACTATATAAATGAGGGCTTGCTTCTGAAGTCTCTCTTCTCTTCTGTTGGTCTGTACATCTTTTTAACAATACCACATTGCTTTGATTACTGTAATGCTATAATTTTGAAATCAGAAATTGTGAGACTTCTAGCTTCCTTCTTTTTCAAAATTTTTTTGGCTATTGAAAATTGTTATAGCTTTAGTGATGCTAAGAGCAATCAAAAGGTTTTGATAGTAGTGCTAGCCTGATCTCTCCATTGCAGAGGTCTTCTCTGTCAACCAACCTTTTGCCTAATGGTTTCATTCATTGATGATTATTGCCTGAATCATTTCATCAGGGGTTACAAAGTGATTATTTCTTCCACATACATTAGCTGGAGTAGTTCTGGGATTTTTTTTTAAAAATGGTTTCTTCATCAACAATGACATTCTGAAATTTAGTTTTGTAGTAAGGCTAGATTAAATGCTTAATTCTTTACCTTTAATTGTCAGTTTTCAGAGGAAGGAATTAGTGCTCCAGTTGCTTTCAGGGAAACTAATGAATGAAGAGGGAAAGTTAAAGTTTAGATACCCTTCTTTAGGGTAGAATCCTGAATTCTTAGATTTCATATATGAAACCTGATTTAGTTCATTGTAGTTAGGGACCCAGGAATCTGTATTTTTTCACATGTAAGCCACATGACCTTGATGTAGGTGGTCTACAGAGCAGACTGCTGTGAAGTAGTATGATTGATTGAAAACTGGTTACTATTTTGTTGTGTTGTCTTCCATACCACAGGTGGTGGTCACTGAGAAGTTAATGCCCAATCTTTATCAAAGTAATTCATTTTTAAATTACAACATTAAATGTTAACTTGCTTAAGTAAGGAGGTCTTTTCTGCTTTTTGTTTCCTGTTGCCATTATGGTCCTTCAGCTATAGTTAGACATAGCCAGTTGTCATACATTTAATCTTAATATTGACTGACTTCCAGTAGGGCAACACAGTAAACATTTTTTTTTAAGATTTTATTCATCAGAGAGAGAGAGAAAGCACAAGCAGGGGGAGCGGCAGGCAGAGAGAGGAGCCCCATAGGGGACTCGATCCTAGGACCCTGGGGTCGTGACCTGAGCTGAAGGCAGCTCAACAGACTGAGCCACCTGGGTATCCCTTTTTGTTTGTGTTTTAATGCTACTTAAATGGTGCTGAGTAGTTGAGCATAAATAATTTGGCGTTTATTGTACATCTATCCATGCCAGTCACCATCTTACAGAATTTTTTTTTTTTAAGATTTTATTTATTTATTTGACAGAGATCACAGGTAGGCAGAGAGTCAGGCAGAGAGAGAGGAGGAAACAGACCCCCCGCCGAGCAGAGAGCCCAATGCGGGGCTCGATCCCAGGACCATAGGATCATGACCTGAGCTGAAGGCAGAGGCTTTAACCCACTGAGCCACCCAGGCGCCCCCATCCTACAGAATTTATCTCCAGTCCTTTCTCTGTCTCCCTTTGACCTAGGTTTGTTTGTTTTTATTTTTTCTTTTTTAATTTTATTTATTTATTATTTTTTTTTTTTACGATTTTTATTTATTTATTAGAGACAGTGAGAGCAGGAACACAAGCAAAGGGAGTGGGAGAGGGAAAGCGGGCTTTCTGCTCAGCGGGGAGCCTGATGTGGGGCTCGATTCCGGGACCCCTGGATCATGACCCCAGCCAAAGGCAGATGCTTAACTGAAACACCCAGGGGCCCCTGTTTTTGTTTTCTTTTTGTTGTTTTTTGTTGTTGATTTTTCTCAGTATCGAAAGCATTTCTGCTATTCCTGAGTCACAGTTTAGGAATGATATATTTAGAGGAGTCTCCCATTACCGCCTCCTTCAGCCAGATATCCATTTTTATTTGTTCATTTATGGTTTATCTGTAGAGCGTTGTTTGTTTCTCTTTGTCTTGCAAATACTAGTCAATATATGTAATTTTGATCCTTTTCTTACACAAAAGTGTGATAACTATATAGATACTGATCTGCATCTTACTTTTCCCCCCTCACTTAATAATATATTCTAGAGATCACTGTAGAAATCATTCTGTTTTATGGCTGTGGAGTCTCCCCTCAGGTAGATGTGTTATTTTTCCAGCCAGTCACTACTGATGGACATTCAGGTTTCTAAACATTTCTTGCTCTTGCATATAAATATAATGCTGTTATTTTCTCCAGTTTCTTCCCTATTTCACTTCTCTCCTTCATAGCAGCACTCTTTGGAAAATTTTCAGTCAGAAATGGCTATCTCCACCTTTTGATTTCTGTACTCCTAAATTCTTTCCATTGGGCTCCGTCCCCACCGCTCCACTGAAACTGCTCTTTTCAAAACACCAGTGACCTACGTGATACCACCTCCAATGCTTCGTTCTCACTTTCTCAACCTTACTTGAATTAGTAGCTGCACAGGACCCAGTTGATGACTCTGTCCTCCTTGAAACACTTGTGAGGAGGCTTCTAGAACACCATATACTCCTGGGTTTTCTTTATTCTTGAGGCTGTTCCTTCTCTCTTTTTTTATGACCTCCATTTCATTGAATGAATGCATTCCGCTTTCCCGTGGTATCAGCTGATGGCTGGGCCAGCTGGGGCCCCCTGCAGGAGAGAGTGGTCTGCCCAAGCCCGGAAGTAGGAAGGGGTGGAGGCTCTGCATCTGGAAGTTGAAGCTGGGAGGGGGAAGAGAGGAAGACTTCTCATTTCAAAGGTCACCTGAAACAAGCCCAAAGTCTGACAGAACCAAAATTTATTGGTTTAATATGTGAGAGCAGGCTCTCCAGCGGAACTGTGGAATGCCACACAAGAGGGAGGAGGGACACGGCCTTCGTACAGTTTGGGTTCCTGCTGAAGGATTCTGAGAATGCTCTCAGGGAAATGGTCAGTTTTGGATTGGTTGCTATTTCTGAGGCAGGATTAGAAGGCAGGATTAATTAGGGTTTGGTGCTACTTTGAGACAGGGGCAGTTTAACAACAAACAGTCCTCAGTAATCGATGCTACAGAAAAATGGGTCTGCGGGTATCATTGGTAAGAAAGCAGTAGTCACACAGAGGGTTGTTAGAGCAACATGACCTTGGGAGAAATAATTTTTTCTCTTACCTTTGCACCTGCCTTTATAAGTGTCTGTCCTTCTAGCCCAGTTGAGGGCAGGGTTTTTTCTTTTTCACTCTGGGCTGATTTTCATCTTTGATCTCAGATGTTTTTACTCTTTCAATTCCATGGCACTGATTTCCTGGATTTGGAAGTAGAGATTCTTGTTTCCTAAAACTGAAGCAAGTAATTGAGTGGTTAAAGGATCACTGTAGTCCTCCATCCCACCCCCAAATTAACGTAAAAGCTCATAATTTTTCAATAGGGCATGACTCAGGAAAATTGTGAAGTAGGAATAGTTTCTTTGTTGTTGCCATTTCAACTCTTCTTTCTGAGCCCCTCACTGTATTGGGGGCCCCAGGGACCCTTCACCATCTCGTCTCATCCAGGCTTCCACTGCTCTTTCTTAGGCCTTTTTCTTCTCCCCTTTGTGAACTTGAGGCTAGTGATTGATTTGATGAGTTTAAGGTAGCTTAATATATTCCTTTGAAGGTCATTTGCATTTTAAAAGGAAATTCCTGAGAATAATACTGAAACCAAGGAACAAGATTCTAATACATTTGTGGCAAGGTGGGGTGGGGAGTGAGGATGGGTAGGGAACAGGGTTTGAACAGAGTCAGTGGTTCAGCCATCACTCGGAGCAGCTGAAGAACTGGAGTCTGGCTCTGCCTTCTCCCCACTTAGGTGCTGAGATAGGTGGTGTGTTGATAAAGTGAAAGTATCAGAGTGCCTGGGCATTGTCATGGCCATTTTGTGTTGAGTAAATAATGTGCAAATGTAGACTGGAAGTTGAGACTAGGTAGATTAGTGCTGACAGTTGGAAGTGCCTCCTTTTCCCAGTGGTACACACATGCTCCTGCCTTGGTAGTTCCAAGAGACAGACACAGGTTAAGTTGAGACTTCACACTGCTTACTGTCTGGGAATGTTTCAGTCCATAGATTGGCAGTGCTCAAACTCTCCTCTCAAGCCTCTGTCACAGAAGGTAGGCAGTACGTACTCAGCCCTCCTATGGAGATGAAATGTGAACCTATAGTTTGTAGCTTAGCAGTTGACTAGAGCCTGTGTACTTCTCCGATCCAAGTGATTTCTTAATCCTTAGGGCACATGTGAGGTTCCTGTTGTGCTTTGAAGATGCATTGAGCTTTAGGAAGGATTTGAATCCACCACCTCCAAACCTAGACGTGACCTCCATGGTAGTCTTCCATGCGTATGCTTTCAAGCCAGGCTGTGTGTCTCCTGGTGTTGTGGCATTCTTGTCTCATGACTCCTTGGGAGAAGCCCAAGGCGTTTGCTCTAGGGATCAGAAGCCTACAAGATTTCAGTCTGAGCCACAGTTTGAACCACTTTGAGGTGTCTTTGTAAACTGAATTTGTAAAAGTTTATGCTTTCTCAAGTCCCCTGGCCTTTTCCCTTGGGAAGCCCAGACCCAAGCGCAACATACTGACGTGGCAGATTATTGCTTTAAGTGACTTCTGTCTGCATCTTGTGCAGGCCAGATGCCTGCTCTGGAAGACACTGTGCAGCTTCTCCCTGACATCCACATCAAGATGATGGCTCATTTGTATAGTTGTTGCTGTTCCTTCTGTTTGAAGACTATTAACTGGCCCTCGCTGCGGTACTGAGAAGGGGTTGCCTAGGAAAGGAGAGCATATAGGAGTGAACTCATGTCTAGTTTTGAATGGACGACTTGTTAGAATAAAGACCTCAACATTGGCACATTACTGTTAATTGAACTCCAGACTTTAGATTTTTTTTGTTTTTGTTTTTTAAATACGGGACACTCCATGAATTTGCATATCATCCTTGCGCAGGGGCCTGCTAACCTACGTATCATTCCAATTTTAGTGTATGTGCTGCTGAAGTGAGCACAGACTTTATTTAGATTTTATCAGTTCCATTCATGACTTCTTTTTGTTCCCAGAATCCAGTCTCTGGTACCATGTTACATGTAGTTGTTTTGACTTTCACTCTCCCCTGATCTGTGACAGTTTCTCAGTCTTCCCTGTTTCTCATGACCCGTGACTGTTAGGAGAAATACCGGCAGGTATTCTTATAATGTACCCCAGTTGGAGCTTTTCTGATGTTTTCCTCAGTTCAGACTGATGGTATAGTTTTTGGGAAGAATACAACAGAGGTGAAGTGCCTTACCAGGGCGTACCTCATATTTACATAATATCACTGGCGATACTAACATCGGTCACTTGATTAAATTGTTTGGTTGCCAGTTTCTCTGTTGTAAAGTTACCGTTTTTCTCTTTCCCTTCTCTGTTCTTTGAAAGCAAGTCACTAAGTCTGTCCCACACTCAGGATGGGTTGGGGGATATGTAGAATTTCAGGTATCTCCTGTATCCCTATGACATACTCCTATCCTTTTTTTTTTCTTCCTTTTTAACACTTTCTTACTTTCTGATACTAAAAAGATATTCTAGGCTCATCTTATATTTTCCATGTCTTAGCCCCAGAATCAGCCATTTCTCTGAGGAACACTTGTTTTTTTAATTAGACAGTACTGTTCAGAAACCACTAGGCCTCCTCAGCAGGCAGAGGCGGGTAACGTGTGTATACATACTACCGTCTGTAAACAGATGTATCTATCCTTGTTTCTGTGTTTCTTCATCTGTATATATATTAAGATAAATGTGAGTTGATAGTGCTGTCTCTGACTTTAATCTAGTACCACAGAGTTCATTTTAGAATGCCTTCCTTCCTTGCTCATCTGTCATATCCTTCAACAGTAAGAAACCTTGCTCCCAGCATTTCACTCTTCATTTACTTATTCAACCCCAGTATACATGTACCCATGTTGTGCATGTATTATAACCCATAACCCCACAAGAAACAAATGTACCAGTTTGAATATTGTACTGATTTTTAGCAATTCTATTATAGTGGACAAATCATAGATGTTTGTTCATGTTTATTATCATGTGATTTGATCTGTGATATAGCCTTTAGATATACGCAGTATTTTTTTTTTTTAACATTCCTACCATAATCTGAGATGTCTTTGTCTGTCTGCATGGTTCATTAAGATTACAGAGTTGGGCTTCAAGTAAAATACTTTCCTTTTTTTTTTTTTAAATGTGGTGCTTGAACTCATAACCCTGAGATCAGGACCTGAGCTGAGATCAAAAGTTGGATGCCTAACCGACTGAGCCACCCAAGAGCCCCAAAATATTTTCCTTTTACTCTGCATGTCTAATAATCTAAACTTAAGAAATAAAAAGTTCATATCTTTCTTTAGTAATTTATTATACATTTCTACAAAAGGAAGTTTATACTTATCATTAAAGTTATATACTTATTAAAGGTTTTATATGTAAAAGGGAGAAGTTGAATGAAACTGTTGACAGTACCATTTAGCTCCAGAGTCCTGGCTCAGGTCCTTTTTGAAAAACATCTTAAGGCAAGACACTCTAAAATCAGTTTCTCCATTTGCTTACTAAGCCCTGAATGTGTAGGCTTGGCACAAGTCTGCTTTATTGGCTACTTTTCTGGGACATCCTTGTTATTGGTACCAAAGATCATATATGTTTGTGGGTAAAGATACTATGGCCTGGGAAATGGGACTCGTTATCTATAGCTGTAGTTTCCTGGGTTCTTCTTGATTCCCAGTTCCTATTGAGGAAAAATAGTATGAGTTGTAAAAGCTGTTGTGAGAATTGAGCGTTCTCAGTCATCATGTACATTGGCTTTTAACTTGAAGTCTGATCTTGGACCCATCACTTCTGCCTCCATACTTCAGATCCTTTATGTAAAAAGTACAGCCATTCCATTAGATGATTTTATCATCGCAAATAGTAAAACATGGCTGGCAGTTCTTATCACAGTAATTAAGGCATTCTGGCAAGAATTGGAGATGGTCAGCCTCTTGAAACAAGCTTATTTGGTCCATTTTTATCACCCTTTTTATTTGATTAACACACTCATTCACACACAGTATGCATGGGACGAACACATCTGAAACATGAGGGCTAGCAGTAGTACCTAGATGGGTTAGATTGTACCATGTAGAAGGTATATTTTGCTGTTCATAATGACCCATCATGGTAATAACTACGGAGGATCAGAACTGGAGTGTTCATTGTTGGTTTTATAAATCATTGGTTTCTTAAATGATCTACTATTTAGAACTACTATGTAAAATCTGGGAGCAGTATAGAAGAATAGCCAAGGTGAAGAGGGTGCGGTGGCTTATGTATGATATGGTCCAGTGAGTTATGTGAAAGAAACGGTAGTTCTTAAAGCCGGGGGAAAATGTCTCATTAGTCTCATATACTGATCACAGTCTTCAGAAAACTGTCCTATCTCTTCTTATAAGCATTTAGTTTCCTGAGCAGAGTGAAGGAAGCATATGACCTATACCTGAGTGTGTAAAACATATCACGTACTTACAAAAGGACTTTGGAAAATAGATGGGTAAAAGAAGAGAAGAATTAATGTACTGTAAGGTAGGGCACGTCTGTTTGGGGAAAACAATAATAGAGTGAAGAGATGTTGCCTTTGGTTAGAAATCTAGGCTAGGAAAGCATGGAGTGAATCTCCCTCAGCTGCCTGCCATTGAATTGTTTTTTTTTTAAGGCCTACGTCATGTTGGTTTGAGACTGACTTAGAGTTTTGAATGAAAGTCCTCTGACCCAGTATTCCTGGCACCATTCCACATTTCCGAGTGAAGTGGCGCGCTGCATATCCTGGCTTACAATGTTAATCAACAGCTTGAGCTTCTGTCGCCCTCGTTTACATGAGGATTCACATTTGCCATCAGAAAAGCTGTGTCTGGGGTGGATTACTCGTTCCTGGGTGTCATGCTTGTGCAGCCCGTGGCTGCAGAGCTGCTAACTCCAGAGGCGAACAGCAGATGTCACTGTGTCTCCACTTACTAGGCTTCTGGCTCCTAGCTGGTCTCTTGCAACCAAGTTTTTAATGGAGCTCCCAAACCACTGAACGCAAATTGAGTATTTATGGCCTTTATCAGATACCGACCCCAGACTGAAAACTGAGAATAAGCACAGCCCAAGAGGTTTTTCCTCATTTTCTTTCACTATTCTTTTTAGTTGGTGGATTTCTTTTTTCCTATTCTTAATATCTTTATTTTGGTGTAGGTAACTGATGAAATTCATTAGCCTTTTCTTATCAACCATTCAGCAGTTATTAGGAGTCTTGGACAGCTTTTCACATTTGTTTCGGCTGGGTTTACACGTCAGAGCTTCTTGGCCTTTCTGTAGCTTGCTTTTTAAAAGCTTTCCAGCAGGAAAGTTGATGTCACTGTTCTCTAAATTGAGATGCAGAACATTGAAGGAAACTGTCTCTTTATTCTTCTGTTTGAACCCTTAGCTTCAGCATTTGAGGAAATAGCTGAATTATGACCAAAAGTTCTGTGGTGCATCTTTTTAAAACAAATCTCACGGTTTCAGTGTAGATGGTGGGATTTCCCTATATGACAAAGGCAGGGTTGGTGTTAAATTGGATTATTTAGGAAAATCTGGGGCATGCTAAGTTTTTGGTATCCTTTGATCACATAGATCATTGGAAAAAAAACCCAGGTGATATTTCCCTTAATAGTCAGGGTTAGTGGTTTACACATGTGTCCTGGTGTCATTATTAATTGGTTCCCCCTTTACTCTCAGTTGTCCTGGTTTGGACAATATGTTGTCACTCTAAATTGCTCAGAGAGGTGGGGGAGGGCGTCATTGATAAGTTGCAATTCTGGGAATTATAAGTATTTTTTGGCTTAAGAATTATGCCTGACCTGAGTTTTCTAAGTTACATACATTCAAGCTAAAGCAAAAACCACAAAGAGCTTATGATTCTGGGAAAATAGTTTTTGGATTTCTGTCTATAGATCATTGTTCTCTGGAGCAGTGATTTCCAGATATGGCTGTGCATCGGAATCAACTGGTAACCTTTTAACAAATACTTTCGTAGGTCTTACCACAGACCTGTACTGAATGTGTACTGGAGTTTGAACGTGACATTACCACAAATGTAGAAATGCATACCTGTACTGGTGACTTTGTCAGCTTGCTTTTCAAATTAGCGTGTAAAAGGACATTTCTTCCTGTGGTTTGGGTGGCATCTCGGGCTTCTGGTGGTGGCTGCTTTGGGCCTTGAGGGTCTGCCTGTCACTGATGTGAGTTGCCTTTTTGTTTCAGATGTCATCTGGGTGATTCTCAGTGTGGAGGTGGGTGGACTTTTAGGAGTAACGCAGCAGCTGTCATCTTTTGAAACGGAGTTCAACACACAGCCACATCGCAAGGTAGAAGGAAACTTCAACCCGTTTGCCTCTCCCCAAAAGAACCGACAATCAGATGAAAACAACTTAAAAGACCCTGGGGGTTCCGGGTTCGACTCGATCAGCAAAAACACATGGGCTCCTGCTCCTGACCAAACCGAGCAAGATGAGAATAGACTCTCACAGAACTCTGTAAATCTGTCCCCCAGCAGTCACGCAAACAACTTATCAGTAGTGACTTACAGTAAGGTAGGTGCCCTCGGAGAAGAGGAGAAGGGGTAGGTGGTGGGCCTTGGGACTTGTGATACCCTTTCATGGCAAACCTAGAAGCCTAGAATGTTCTTTAAGACGCTCAGCTCTCCTGCCAACAGCAACAATACAAAAACCTACCCCTTCTCCCCTCCCCCCCCCCCATCTTCATGTCCTGTGGATGTTACTTTATCCACATTTATAATTTACCACTGTCTCTCTGCTCTGGTTTGGGTGTTAAAAGAACAAGGTTTTTTACCTTTAGCATTTAAAAAAAAATGAAAGTCAAAATATCACCAGCTCTCCTTCCAGTGTAAATGTATACTAAGCCTAGAACAGCAAGATGCTTTTGGAATCTTTTCCTACTTTGTTGTTTTTATTTTGGCTTTGGGTGGGACTTTTGTTTTTCCAAGGAAAAAAGACAAACTCTATTATTTATCCTAAATACTATTGTTGGGCTTTTGCTTTACTTACCTTGTTTGCATGTCTTGTCGATATATTTTCAGTCTCTTATGGCCCATCTACCTCCTTACCCACAACCCAGAGTGGCCCAAGTGATATTTTGACTTTTTATGTATGGGGCAGTAAGTGAGAGAATTATTTGTTGAGTTGACCATGATTTTAAATATTCTGATTGTTCTGAGACACTCTTCTGGGTGTTTGATTTCTTGACCTGCTTCTCTCCTTGCTAGCTGATTAAACAGTGTCTTCCACACTGCTAAGGGTGATGATGGTTCTTGGTTGTTGGTTTGGGTTGGTTGAGTAAAGCCCTGATGCCGAGAGCTCATGTTATAGGTGTTTCATGTGGCTTGGGCCTGTGAGCATTCCTATGCATTTTTCTCTGATTAATAATGCTGTGTATTGGGCCCAGCATCCCACCTATACAGTCGTAACACTGTTAAGTCTGTCCTTGGGTCATGTTGGCATTTACCCTCAAATTTTGAAAAATAAAACTGATGTTTATATGAGGGACAGATCGCTTTTCTGTTGTTAAGAATGGTATTTTTCTGACCAATGGTTTATATATGGTCCAGATCAAGAGGCAAATTAAGGAAAGAGACCTGAGGGTGCCTGCGTGGCTCAGTGGGTTAAGCCTCTGCCTTCGGCTCAGATCATGCTCTCAGGGTCCTGGGATCAAGCCCCGCATCGGGCTCTCTGCTCAGCAGGGAGCCTGCTTTTGCCTCTCTCTCTGCCTACTTGTGATCTCTCTGTCAAATAAATAAAATCTAAAAAAACAAAAAAACAAAGAAAAGAAACCTGATGATATGAATCCCATTTCTCCTCATGGTCTAGTAAGAGAGACTTCATTCCCTAGTGGTATAACAAAGGATTGATTTTTTTGGTTGTTTGGATGGTTGTTGTAAAGGATTCTGTGGAGTCATGTTAGTGGTACAGGATATAAGAAAGTTAATCGGCAAGACAGTAAATTTGCCTGTATTTGGGTTAAGATTTCATGTCATAACACTGTAATAAAAGGTTTTTCACTTAAGCTCCTATTTCTCCAGATTTTTCCTCCTTAAATTTAACCATCCAGAGTATGACTCTCCAGGTGGTAGGTGAGCCAAGCCCTAGGGTAAGCATGTCCTGTTAGAACTGGAATTTGCAGCTGAGTTTAATGGGAAGATGAGAGCTGAAGGAGGCAGAGCCAGTTGCCCCAGTGCTTTGTGTAATGGAAGCCCCCTTCTCCCAACTGTGAGCTCCCTGGCTGCAGTAGTCACTGTGGTCTTAGGAGACGGCTGGTGTGCCTGGCCAGGGCATGCACTCATCTTCCTAAGTTGTGAACCTGTGAGTTGTTTGCAGCTCCTTCAGGGAATGATGCCTTTTCTCCAGTTCTGTGATGATTGCCCTGGCCTGGGGGGTGAGATGGGGTTGGCAGGGGTCAGGATGGATTACCTCCCAGCCTTAGTGAGGTCCTACCATGTTGTCATTTTGTTTTGTTTTGTTTTGTTTTGTTTTTGAAGGAGTGGGCTGTGGTGAGGCTAGAGGCTATTAAGATTTCTTGAGGTTGATGAATTCATGGTATGTCACCTAATTTTTTTTTTCATGAACTCTGTAGAATCATTTAGAAGTAGTATTTGCAAGAACCAGAGAAAAGGCTCTTATTGGAGGTGCTATTCAGAGACTATTGGCTATAATGCATTGAGAATGTGGCACTTAGTTTCCAAAGAGAAACTGGAGCCTCCCTTGTTTCTTGCTTTTGTTTCTTTTTTTTTTTTTTCTTCATTTATTTTTAGAGGTGGGAAAAGGACAGAGGAGGAGGGAGAGGGACAAGCAGACTCCTCGCTGAGTGAGGAGCCTCATGCAGGGCTCAATCTCATGACCCTGAGATCATGACCCTGAGATCGTGACCTGAGCCAAAATCAAGAGTCAGACATTTGCTTAACCGACTGCATCACCCAGGCGCCCCTCTTGTTTCTTAATTTAAGCAGACTCGTATTCAGAATGTATTTCTGTGAGCATCTGGCAAGTTCTCTGAAAGCATTTCTGGTTAAAGTGGAATTGGCTCCACCTCTTAAGTCTCCTTAGGAGCAGGGTTAGGGTGTAGACAGACAGCACTCAGTATTTACTAAAACATCTCTGCACTGTTTAGACCAGTGTCCACTGTTCAGTGGGAGATTTGAAGAATGAAAGAAGTTATCCCTATCAGCAGCTTACAGTACAGTAAGGAAGATGAGATATGGACATAGCAGTTACAGAACAGTTCAGTCAAGAAGTCCGGAGGGACAAGAACACAGTCAAAATGTGCAGTTTGTATGTATGGCTGTGGATTCGAGTTAGGGCAGAGAGGAAGAAGAGATTGAGTTGATGGAAAGGGCTTTTCAAAGGATACATTTGGAAAGACAGGAAGGACAGTGAACAGGTTAAGTGCTGAGGGCAGAATGCTTAAGAGACCTGTGGTCAGGAGATGTGGGTGACAGACGATGAGAGATGGGCTCAGTCATCTGCAGTGCTTTCCTTTGAGTCTGCTCAGGGGTGTACCTGACACAGTGGTGAGATGAGGTATACCAGAGTTAGATTTGAACTCGTCCTGTGTGCCAGCTGTGTTTCCATGTACTTCACATATAGTCGCTCATTTTTTGGACAGGAAAACAAAAGTTCCAAGGGACTTAGGAACTGGCTCAATATTCCATAGCTCTTGAGAGGCAGAGCTGGGATTCCAGTCCAAGGTGCCACATTACTAAAACATGTATTATTAGTAAGTGAACCTGGGCTCTCCCTAGGTCCTCCAGTTGGGATGGAGGCTGTGGTGAGTGAAGGCATTTACTGAGTTGATGATCGGTATCATCAAGGGGTAAAAAACAGCAGAGTTGAAATAAGATAAGTGTCTCTCCCGTAAACCGAAGATTGCCCATGGCATCTTCTTTCTGAAGACTTACCTTGTTCATGAGTCTTTCAAGTAGTGACTTCTTGTCCTGGTTAGTAAAAATAAGAACTTGGGTGCAAAAACTTTGTGGTGTTTATAATAATTAGCACCCTTTTATTTGTAAATGAGTGGAAAGAATGAAAGAAGCCCCTGAGCTCTAGAGTTGGGACGTGTGTTTTCAGCTCACCTCAGATGCCATCTTTATGGGGAGGAGGAATACCTGATGCCCTGGGGTCAGGGATCAGAGTAGACAATAGATTTTACTTACTCTAAAGAAATTCCCTGCCTGCCATTAAGTCTGGGAAAGAACATGATGCTCTTGGAAGCCCGTGACCACAGTTACAACAGGCAGATATGGTTTCCTGCTGCCTCTATAGTTACAGTTTAACTTGTTAAGGTTGGTAGGATGAAATGAAAAGATTGCTTCATGCACCTGCTCTGTGAGGGCTGCGTGGATATGTCAAAATAATGGCACATATGTCAGTGCCAGGAACTAGACACCCCAGGGGCCCTTCCCCAGCTGTACTTGAATAACCATAAGCTCTCCGGACTCAGTGCTCTGTGTCTGGAGCGGGGAGCCCTGGGTGGCAATGCCAGCTCTAGCTCCATCCCACAACCCAGAGGACCTGGCCTCTCCCCTATGTGAGAGCTGTCAGAGGGAGTCAGAAAAGTAAGTATATGCTGACCTGCTCCAAATATTCATAAATCTGACTCCTCGCCTTTGTTAGAAATTGGCTGACCTCATTGTCGGCTCAATTGTGGCTGACTTGTCCCATGTGAACGGTCAGATCAAGTATTGATGAAGGTTAGATGCTGTTTTACTGAACCCTTTTATGTGATTAGCTCAAGAGGCTCGGAGGACAAATGGTCCCAGTAGAATAGGTGCTCACTCAGTTGGCTCAAGGCTAATCTTGCCATGAATTCTAGCTCCCTGACTCCTCCCTGGAGGCCAGTATAGCTTTGGACAGTATGAGAGTAGTGAAAGAAAAAAAACAATTCATAGAGGTCTGGAAGGAGAAAATAAGTCCTGTTAAAATTAGATGCTTTTTTTTTTTTCTTATTTAGCAGTAATTTTTTAAATCTCTAAATGTTTTCTGAGAAGGCCTTACAGAGGAAAAAGACACCAAACGGTCTGATTTAGGCCAGATGGTAATAAGAGTGTGGCTGTCAAAAACCAAGGGGCTATACTTGAGGAAGGCCAAATGCTTGGTTTCCTTTCTCTAAAAAAAAAAGAGTAATAATTTACACTGGGATAGCTGAAAAGAATCCCAAATTCATTTATTTGTTACTTGGCCTATGGTTCCTATTTTGTGTTTTGTTCTTACTTTAAAAAAAATGTTTGGAGCTGGTATATGTCATATACTCCTCCTTTAAACTGGATTACAGTCTGAGCCACTGTTATTACTTCCACCAAATGCTGGTTCAGAAGGAGAAACTTGTTATTATCTTTGTGGGGAGGTTCATCGTGCTCCTCCAGCATCAGCCACTGCCGAGTGCCATCTGCCCTGCCTGCCCACATTCCCACCTGCTTCTCTTCCTATCTCTGTCTGACACCCACCCTTGAGTATGTTTTGGATCTGCAGCTAGAGCAGGAGTACGTCTGCTTTTGTCTCATTGGAAGTCCGCTCTCTCCTGA